AGAAGCGGCGTCCTCCGCGCTCTTGGCTGCCACAAACGCCACGCAACGAGGGAATCTCCTTTTGGGAGGGGTGGTGCCGCCGCTGCCGGTCGCTACTTCTCGCCCGCAAAGAGCAGAAGGCGATGCCCGTGCCCGCCGCAGGCGGAGGGGGGCGGGGAAGGGACATCCCCACATGCAGCCAAAGGGGAAAGAAACAAAAGCGGGCACGGTACCTTGCGGTGAATTCCCTTAAGTCACAAAGGGCATGCCTAGGAGGAGGACTGAGCGCGAGCCCCCAGCCGCGGACGGCTATGGCCAGCGGAGAAGGGGTGGGGGTGGTGGATCGGGGTCAGGAGGCGGAGGGCGTCCTGGAATGACCGTAAACGCGGTGCAAACCGCTCTTCTTTTTCCTCCTGATTTTGGGGTAGTCTCGCTGGTCTTCCCCCTTCCCCCGCCGCTCGCCGGCGTTCATTGTAGACCTGAGAGCTGTCACGTACTCTCGGGCACTGGCGTGGCTCAAGCGAGGATCAGCGCCCCCTTGCGTCAGAAAGGTGAAAATCGTCCCGCAATGATGATGATGATGATTTTTTTTAAAAAAAATATATAGAATAGAATAGAATTCTTTATTGGCCAAGTGTGATTGGACACAGAAGGAATTTGTCTTGGGGCATAACGCTCTCAGTGTACATAAAAGAAAAGATAACGTTCATCAAGAATCATAAGGTACAACACTTAATGATAGTCATAGGGAAACAGTCAATATAAATCTTAAGGATACCAGCAACAAGGTTACAGTCATACAGTCATAAGTGAGAGGAGATGGGTGATAGGAATGATGAGAAGATTATATATATACATACATACATACATGGAGCACCAGAAGCAGCTCTGGAAAAATACAGGTTCTCCCGAAGATTACATTTTCCCCAGCCCGTGAGGCGCCTAAAAGTGATCGAGTCTGATTTTTCCCTTCTGGCTTATTATTTCCAGGTTTTCCCCACCCCCCTTTTAGGGGTGTTTTTCCTGTGTCTTCTAACCAATCCTTCAATCTAATTTCCAAAGCTTTTTGTGTCCTTTGGATATTAGAGGCTATGGGTACCCAAACCTTGTCCAGGATAAGGAATTGGACTAAGGGACTTACCAATCATTAAGCTTACAGTTTTCTTCCCTTTTCCTTTACTGAGTTTATCTGGAACAAACATTATAAAAAAAATTGCTTGGAGTTATGGGTGATTGGAATTTTGTTTATTTCCCCACGAGGTTAGCATTTCTGTATTGACTCATATATATTTTACAACATTCACACCTCTGAATTTGTACTTATTATTTCTGGTTTAGCAGCTCTATAAATCTAAGTAATAATAACTATTAAAAATGTTGAAAAGAAATTCAAACTCCACAAATTGAACTGATAGAACATTCCTTATTTTTGCCTTTAGGATGTCTCAAAGTTAATTTGTTTGAGAATTTTAGATATATGAGCTTTTAAATGTAACCTTTGATCCATCATCATCTGCATATACTTTGAACTCACTATATGTGTTATAATGTGTTACAATATAGTTTATGTTTCCATTGGGCAAATATAGCTAAGCAGTTGGACTGAGGTGTGCAAGATACTGAATCAAACCCAGGGATTAAATTCAGCAGGTTCTGACAGGTTCTGGAGAACCGGTAGCGGAAATTTTGAGTAGTTCGGAGAACCGGCAAATACCACCTCTGGCTGGCCCCGGAGTGGGGTGGGAATGTAGATTTTGCAGTATCCTTCCCCTGGAGTGGGGTGGGAATGGAGATTTTGCAGTATCCTTCCCCTGCCACACCCACCAAGCCATGCCCACCAAGCTGCACCAAGCCATGCCCACAGAACCGGTAGTAAAAAAATTTGGATTTCACCACTGATCGAGACCCTATTTAATGATTGTTTGTAGATTCTAAACAGAAACCACGGCTTTAAGGAAGTTTACAATTAAAAAATGTTTGCTGTCATGTATATGCTCCCTTAGAGAGCAAGCTTGCAATTTGTAGATTCTCCTGGACTCATGGCTACTGTTAAAAGAGCAGGTGAATGCTGTAGTTAGGAAGCCTTTTTTCAGCTCTAGCTGGTGTGTCAGTTGCAGTCTTGTCTGGAACAGGACATGTTGACGGCAATCACTCATGCCTTGCCATCTATTGACTAGATTACTGTCATTTGTTCCATGTGAGACAGACTTTGAATACCATCAAGAAATTTCAGTTGTACCACAATGCAGTGTCCATGTGTTCACTGATCAAGTCACAAAACTACCCTTTTATAAAGATGTTTCTGGAGCTTCACTGGCAACTGTGTTTCCAAGTGCAACAACATGCTGATTGCTGCCTATAAAGCCCTATATGGCTTGGACCTGGGAATCTAAGAGACCACCGTGTACAGATAGGCCCCACATCAGTGGTGGGTTGCCCCCAGTTCAGACTGGTTCTATAGAACCGGTAGTAAAACCGGTGGGAGGCTCCGCCCATTGACCCTGACGTCATCAGAAGCAATCTGCGCATGCGCAAAGCTTCTGCACATGCACAGAAGCAAGACACGTGCACGAGCGAAGCGAGCACGCACACGCGATCCCGTTGCAAACCGGTAGAAAAGGTAAGTAGAACCCACCCCTGCCCCACATGAATGGTTAAAGGATACCTGCTAAAAGTTCCCATCTATCAAAAGGCAGTCAGGAGAGGGCTTGTTAGCAGGGATTTTCTCTGATGATTGCTGTCTTTTTGAACTGTCTATTCCACAGGTATCAAATTCGCTGTGTCACGTTGCCGTCACGTGACGTTTCACAACTTTTTTCCCTTTGCAGAGCTGGGGTGGGTGTGGCCTACGCGTGATGCATCCAGCCCTTGGGCCACCAGTTTGACACCGCTGACTCTATTCCAGTGTTTCCCAAACTTGGCTATTTTAAGATGCATGGACTTCAATTCCCAGAATTCCCCAACCAGTATGCCTGGTTGAGGAATTCTGGGAGTTGAAGTCCATACATCTTCAAAGGGTCAAGTTTGGGAAACACTGCTCTATTCCATGAATCAAAGATTACCCCCATTCTTATGACCTTGAACAAGACCTGGCTTCTTTGAGTATTGATGGTGCATCACTGACACCAAATAGTTTTACTGTATACAGTATTGTATTCATTATTATTATGATTGCACTATTTTATTAGTAGTACTTGTACCATGTCTTAAAACTATCTGGTTTGAAGCAGTAAATAAACTACATCTATAAACAAATAAAGGTACCAATACTTACATCTGTCAGACTGAACATTTCATATATGTGATGTAATTAGGAACAAAGAGATGGAACAAAGGGATAGAATTGTATAGATCAGTGGGAATGTTGAGGCTGGAATGGAATGAATGATATACCTTTGGTCATAGTGTGCATGTTAATCTGTTAAAGAAATAGTTATTTTTTATAACTGTCAATATTCTACTTAATGTTATTTCATAGGTTTTACATGCTTCCATTAATGTCATTCTTATATAATCATTGCCCCAAATTTTTCACTCAAATTCAGAAATAATTATGGAATTCTTTCACTGCTCAGTTAACTTATTTTCTTTTTTGCCAACAGAGGACCTTTTTTAAATGAAGTCTGTTCCAGTAATAAAAGAATATTCTTGACTTTGCATTTTTAAAATGTGGCATCTGGTCCATGTTTTTGTCTGCTGCTAATGATAAAACGTCTTGTCCAAAAAAATTTTGCCTGAAAGGCAGCTGAAATGATTAGTCCAAACTGTCCGACAGGTGAAAACATTTGATAATACTTATCCAAATGTTTAATGCACTGCATAAAGTGAAAATCAGCCAAGCTACATTAATTTAACAATCCGCTGTAAATGCCTCCTAATTTATAGCAGATATGCCAAGAACTTATTTTACTAAACATTTACAAGGTTGCCCAATATATAGATTGTTCTACTCTCGGCGGCTTACAACACGCACACACAATAAATCAAAAAGAAAACCCCCCCCCAAAGAATATTATTCAACAACAACCAAACAAAACATAAATACAAATTTTTAAATTATTAGTCCGCTTTGACAAAACCGCTCCACCGTGCGCTCTTCGCTCCTTTGCCTAACGTGGGAAGAAGATTCGAAGCCGTGTAGGCAGCAAGGTTCACGCTTGCTTCGAAGGGTTCCCTGTGTTTTCTCGACGCTCTTCGTTTTTTATGAACTTCCATTCCTGAGCCTCGCCTTGAGGAAAAATAAATCAGAAAAGGAAGTGAGCGTTGTGCGCAACTCTAGACTGCATGCTTCTATTGAACGTGAGGCGCGGTCTACTTTTCAAAGCTCGCTGCCCATTTGAGTATAGCGAGCTATCTTAGTTCTATGGTTTTTCGGCATCGCGTTGATTGTACGAAAGACTTTGGGAAAGCGCCGGGCGGTCACTTAGGTGAGCTTGGCGGGGATGCGGCTCCCGCGGGACGGAGACACACCTGACGCCGCACAATTCTCTGGAGGATCGGGAGGACCAAGAAAGGGAAGCTCCCGGGACTAAACTAAGGGGCTAGCACGTGTCCGGAAGAGTAACGTCTGAAGGGCTCTAGAGAGAGTGAGAGAAGTGCGGTGGACCGTTTCGGCTATTCAGGATTGTACTACTTAGAATGGATTGCTGGCGGTGCAGGGAAGGGAAAAGGGAGGAAGTAAACCATTCGTCCTTACTTCCCGTTTGCTAATTGCACCCTTAAATATTAAAATATATTTTATTATATTAAATATTAAAATAATATAACGAAGTTTATCCATTTGCTGTTGGTTTGGAGAGTGGAAAACGAGAGCTTTGGTGTTGTTCATATTGGGGGGAGGGAATGCATTTGGTTCGGATAGCGGAAAATGCTGGAAAGGTGGACAATTGTATGGGGGGACAGTTCCTGCCAAAGTGCAGTTTTGCTTGAAAACAACAACTTACGTTGGTTTCCTGCCTTGTTGTTCTTTAGCTCTTTTGTGAGTGCTTTGTGGCACTGTAGCTTCCTATCCGCTGCCAAAGATGTATATGCAGGTCGAAAGTCATTCAAACACACGCCTTCACTTGAAGAGATCCCCGGGCATCAGATCTTGGTCTATCCTTGTAGGTAAGCCTGTTTCTCCCAAATTTCTAAAATAAAACTCAAATGACATGTCCATTAAAAAAAAAAAGAGTGTCAATTTTGACAATTTTTTGCTGTCTCTTCAGGGCTGGAGATTGCAGCAAATATTGTATAAGAACAAGACTGCTTGTTCCCATATTCTAGGCAATGATTTGAATATATGGATGGATTTGAATATATGGATGGATTTTGCATGTTGATTGTAATCAGAATTTTGACTTTCAAGTCGTTGACCTGGGATGTATTTATTGAGAGTATCCCTCAGTTATTCTAATACAACTTCTACAGAATCATTCTATTATTGCAAACAGTTATCTGAGTTGATTCAGGAAGTCCTTACTGTATAATTCAACAAGATAATAGTTGGCACTATGCTATTTCTAACTGTCCTTTCATTACTATATGTTAATCCTTTGCAAAATCCTCTTAACTCAGCAGAGAAAATAGTGGGAGAATCAGGTCAGAGAGAATTTTAATGTCTTTTTCTTCTAGAACAGGTGTAATAAAGATTTCACTACTCTCTGAAATATTACAATGGATCAGATATATTATCAAATTGATGGAAGTGGGCAAATTCTGAAAGTGATGGTTATATTTTATGCTAACTAGCTCTAAAGTACCAGATACACAATTTCCAGGGTGTTTTTAAGATAAACAGACATTGTATTGAGTTCAAGAAAATAGCTAGAATCAGATTTTTTAAAAAGATTCTTTGGACGTTAATCTTTAAAAGGCCTCTAAGTGCAAACATTACCTTGTATTTTTATACAGTTTAATCAGATATTTAAATAGTAGAATTAAATTGCAAATTAATTCCTCTCTTTTTTCTCTATAGGGATATCCTCCATTGGCATAGCTGCTGCTTATTATAGTGAAGGTAAATTCACTAGAAAAGTTTAGTTATTTGTTAATATATTTTTTAAAAAAACATGCTCACATTTCTCTCTGCCATTCTTTAAATTCATTATGTTCTGATTTGTGCTGTGCCTTATCTAGTGGGCTCATCTGAACTCTATAGTGTATATATTTCCATTTTTCCTAGACACCTCACAAGGAAGAGAGGAAGTGTGAAAATATTAAAAAATGTTGATTCAATGAACAGCCCCCCCTTATGTAGAATGACTAATTTTCTAATAAAAATATAAGAGGCAAAATGGCCAATTTTTTGTTAGTACAGTAGCAAGTGTTGATGGTGTCTTGGCCTTCCTCTTCTCTCTTACATGGCAGCTCACAGTATTTGCTTCAATAGGCTCTGCACAAGTCTTCTTTTAGTTCTGTATATTGCCAGTTTTAAACATTATTACCAGTTGGAATGTATCAGTTTCTATCATTTTTGTATTAACATTTTGTGAGCTGCTGAAAGCATTTGTAATTAACACTAGCTGGCCTTAAATTAGCCTTTACTCCTATTCACTCTCCTTTTAGTTTTGATGTGATTGTTAATTTTTTTATCTTCAGTCGCATTTTAATGCCTACAAATAATTTAAACAAAGTGTAAATTAGAAATGTATTCATAATTTGAAATATTATTTTGTTATTCAGATACCCTGGGATGGAAACTCTTTTATCTTGTTGGCTGTCTCTTTGTAGCTGCACAAAACCTAGAGGAGTGGGAAGTAAGTACTGTAATGTCTTACAAAAAAAGTTAGTTTTATTGGCCAGATAATAAATTGAGGAAAGACAAAATATTCAATTATGGAATGTGTTGAATCCAGAATAGATTGTTCTCAAACTTGTCTGATCAAAAAACTACTTCTGGTTTGGAAATTTCAGTTGTTCTGGAAGTGATTCAACAAATTAGAAAGGTTTGTTTCAGAGTCAAAACAAGTAAGAAATAGCTCATTCCAAAATTGGAACAATCCAGTTTGTGATTCAGACTTTAATTTTTTTCTGAAACTAAGAGATAAAGAGTTTGATGGGAAATATGAAATTCTATAGATTTTACTTTTCAAGGAGAATCTGAGACTAAATTTATTTACATGGTCCAGAGGTTTGGAGTAATATTCATTGTATATTGACTCTTTTAATTATTGACATTGTTACAGAAAAGAATGTTTATACTTGTCTGACAACTATGATTCTTTTCTTCTCATCCAATAAATGGCTTCATAAGATGATTTATTTATTTATTTCACACAGGAAGCTATATTTGAGAAAGATGCAGGAAAGGTTTACTTAAAGTCATTCAGCCTTTACAAAAAGCTGTTGACCTTTTCAAGAGCTGGCCACGAACAAGGTAAAGCAACATGTGCATGCTGTACAGAAAGAAGTAAGATACTTACTTCACCCTGACATATGTAGTTTAGTTTATTGTCATTGCGCATGGTACAACAAAATTAAATGCCATCTTCAGTGTACATTATAACTATAAAAATAAAAACACATAAATCCTTTACATTCTTTATAATTGAAATTGAAAACCCAATATTGCACTATATTGTAGAATTCAGTATGGTTATTGCCCTGGGATAGAAGCTGTTTTTCAGCCTATTTGTCCTTGTTTTTATTATCCTGTACCGTCTGCCAGATGGTAATAGTTCCAAAAAAGGGTACCCAGGATGAGATGGATGTTTAAGAATGTTTTGAACTTTCTTAAGGCAGTGGGAGTATAAAGCTCTTCCAAAGAGGGGAGAGGGCAACCAATGATTCTCTGGGCAATGACCTTGACCCTCTGGAGTGCTGTCCTATCTGCCACTGTGCAATCGGCAAATCATACATAGATGCAGTAAGTTAAAATACTCTCTATGGTGCAGCGGTAGAAGGTCACCAGCAGTTTTTCATTCAGTTGTTGTTTCCTGAGTAGTCTCAGATAGTATAAACTCTGCTGGGCCCTTTTGACCAGTGCTGCAATGTGAGTGCCCCAGGTCAGTTCCTCTTTTATGATAACACCCAGAAACTTAAAACTGGCCACTTGCTCCACTTGGTCTCTATTGATAAGCAAGGGCTGGATTTCTGATCTATTCCTTCTATAGTCCACTATAAGCTCCTTGGTCTTATTTGTGTTAAGGACCAAGTTATTGTCTCCACACCATGAAAGCAACCATTCCACCTCAACTCAATAGGCAGACTCATCCTCCCCCCCGGAGATTTATTTATTTATTTATTTATTGGTTGGTTGGTTGGTTGGTTCGATTTATATGACGCCCTTCTCCGGAGACTCAGGGCGGCTTACAATGTGTTAAGCAATAGCCTTCATACTTTTGTATATACCTGCTTAGTAGGGCTTTCGGCCCCCCCAAGCGGTGTTCTTTTTTATACAAAGTCAGCTTATTTTCCCCACAATCTGGGTCCTCATTTTACCTACCTCAAAAGGATGGAAGGCTGAGTCAACCTTGAGCCTGGTGAGATTTGAACTTGCAGTAATTGCAGGCAGCTGATGCTACTTAACAGCACTTTTAGTCTGCTGCACCACCAAGGCTCTTTAACATCCATTCCCACCACTGTTGTATCATCTGCAAATTTAGTAACAGTATTACTAGCGGGCCTGGAAATGTAGTCATGCACATAGAGTATATGTTGTGATAACAGTATAGAGTAAGGGACTCAACATGCAACCCTGAGGTGTACCAGTGTTAAGAATAAGGGCTGAAGAGATACGATTACCTAATCTGACCCTCTGAGAGCAGCCAGACAGTGTACACATTGTAGTAAGGTATATTTAGCTGTGATCATAATGATTCTTTAACCTGCTTGCTTAGGCAGATTAAAGTTTTGCCTCTGCAAAAACCTGAAGAAAATGACAATTTCTTCAAAACTCTGCAGAGGCCAAATCCATGTTGCTACAAATTTCTGTTCAATGTTGTCTTTGGTTTTGAGAATAAATATTTTTGTTTTCATAATAACTAGTAGGTTGGTTGTTTCCAATGGTTGCTGAGACTACAGAGTTAGAGTTTTGCAACTTCTATTCATTTTGTCCTTACATGATGCGGCAGCACTTGGATCACCTTGGTTGACTTTGAAAAAAAACTTAGCAGAATTAGATCAAGTTAGTACTTCAAAGGGGATCCCTAGGAAACATTACAGTTATCAGCTACATGAGAATGTAAAAGAAACATCCTAGAAGGCACTATCCTTGTAAATACCCGTAGTTCAACTCTACTTGAAACCATTTTTATTTTATGCTGTAATTGCAAGAATACCAGAATGGTTGGACAATGAACAAGTAAACTTCTCCATTTTCCACCAAGAGTTTGCTTATAACGACTAAGACCATCTTTGCTTCATATTCCATTAATCTGCGCACAAGAAAGCAGTACAATTTTACGATGCAACAGTGTAGATTGATTTATCATAGGATTTTGAAGATATATATTTAATTCTTTAAAACACAGAATTCGCTGTGTAACAGTTGAAAGTGGACAACTCTTTCATACTGTTTGAAAAGTTGTCAGCAAATCCTCAAGTCTTAAATCTCTAAAAAAAGCCATACACTCATCTTTCCTAAAAAATAAGTATTAACATCAAAATGACATGTCTGTAAGCTAGTAATCATTTTGTTATGAAAGGGCAACTAAGAAGCTTGCTTTCGTTCATGTTGAAAATACCAAGGCACTTCCTGGTTGAAAGGATTAGCTGGTGACATCACTATTGACTGGGGAATGTCCAGATAGAAGTTCCTTTCATATCCCATTAATGTCACCAAAATGGTACCTATCTATCTACTTGCGATTGCATGTTTTTAACTGCTAGGTCAGTAGGAGCTGGAGTGAATGATGGGAGCTCATCCCTTCATACAGCAGCACTCTGGTGAACATGGGCTTGCTACCCTCCAATCCAGCATCCTAATCACATAGCCACCACACTCCTCACTACACAAACTAAATTTATGAGTAGCGTTTGATTCTTGGAGTCTGTTGTTGTTTTTTAAAAAAATTCACTACATGAATGATGAACTCCATTCTTGCCCTGAAATGTACAAATCATCATTCAAAAGTGCTGGGAGGAGAAACCTAAATTGCAGGAGAGAAAAAAGAGCTCATGCTAGTATTTTCTAAAGAAGAATTCATAAAGTCTCCTATCTAGGGTCGATGCTTGTTAGCTCTGTTGGCCCTAAAATTAATATGAGGCAGTTGAGGGCATGCAAGGAGATACAGGTAGTTTTTACTACTTTTTTGTGTGAATTGTACGTAGCATTGCTTGACATTATTTTACTAACAATTCAGTGTTTGCTCCTTGCAAATAGTGGTTGTTCCATTGGATGAAATTCAGGCTGTGAATGTAGAAGAAGAGAAGGTTCGTTACTTTGGGAAGGGGTACGTAATTGTACTGCGATTTGGCACTGGATTTTCACACCCTCTAACACAGAATGCAGTGATGGGCTGCAGAAGGTATGTATGAACTTTCTCCTTTGTCATTATTTGGAGTATTTTAGGAGGTATCATTTAACCTGAGATTGGCAATCACATTTTCAACAACCCAATTGTCCTTTTGTTACTATTGTTCTTTTCAAATTCTTCGGTTGTGCATTAACTTACATTTTCCAGTTAAAGTTATAAAGTTATAGTAATAGCAATAGTACTTAGACTTATATTCCACTTCCCAGTGCTTTTCAGCTCCCTCTAAGCGGTTTCAGAGTCAGCCTATTGACCCAATCTGGGTCCTCATTTATGACCTCAGAAGGATGGAAGACTGAGTCAGCCTTGAGCAGGTCAGGATCAAACTCGTGAAACGAGCAGTGAATTAGCTTGCAGTACTGCATTCTAACCATTGTGCCACCACGTCTCATTTAAAGTTATGGCATTTTCATGACTGCAATCTATTCCAGAATGAATTTAAATGTATTTTAATTTGAAATTTTGAAGTGTAGATGTCAGAAATGTTAACCTTTCTCTTCTCCAATTAAAATGAGTTTAGGTTTTTAATTATATCTGTTATAGAACATATAGCTGATTTTTAAGGCCCTTTTTAAAAATGTTATATACATCTTCAGAAGAAATAAAGCTACACATTTATTGTAATGAAAGTGTTTTAACAATTTTTCCATACATTCTATGTATCTTGTTTCCTGTCAGTTAGCCATTAGATCAGTAGGTTAGCAGGAAAGGCATAGTGCTTCAGGTAAATTAATGTAATACTTCTTAATTATATATCACGAAGTGAATTGGCATTTGAAAACCCTTAAAATTAATTAATTTTGTTTAAATATTTTTTTATCAGACTGAAACTTAATTTAAGTTAACATTACAACCCTGTTATAAAAGTTAACATTAAAACCCTGTGATATTCTTTCAGACAGACATGGGAACAATAAAGGCCAGAGATTTTGCTATATGTTTTAGTAAACATTTTACCTTTACTAGATGGATGCAGTTTCATACTTTTGTGACCAGCTCAAGTAGGCATTGGATTCATTAAATCTTGCCTATTATTTTTTTCTTCCTCAGTGATGTTGAGGCTGTGGCCAACGTCATTGTTGGTTTCCTTGAACTGAACGAGTTACAGATTGATGAAGGCCTTGAAACGAGTAGTGGAACAGATGTTAGTGACGAAGATCAAGCAAAGGACAAATAGTTACATGAACTCTGATATGTGGAAACCAAACATTTTCTGAATGGTATAAAACTTGAATGTTACATTCTTAAGTTCTAGAAACAACTTTTTAATTGTTAACTTCCTGTGTATAATGTTAAGCATAGAGATTTGCAACAATCAGAAAGGAATTTAAAAGTCTTCCATATTTTCTAGAGCCTAGACCTATGGATCTTTTAACCGAAAGATTTTCAGATGGGGATACCATTTGGACATAATTTAGATGATTACCTAATTCCTGATAAGTCTTGAACCTATTTCTTTCCCCTTCTGCACTCCTTGTGATTATTTTAAATTTCAATAAAATCCTCCAGCGAGAGTATCATGAGGCCATAGACTTCGAATGTGGGGCGTGCTATTTCTCAACAACTGCACTTCTCTAGGAGGAGCAATGTAAAAGCTTTTGCTTCAGAGCAAACCAGTTTGGCACTACACCCAGATTCTGGGTTGTTTTTTTCCTAAACAAAAGGAAAAGAACATTCAGAAAGCAGGTACAACCCCAGAGAAGACCCACCTGCAAGTCATTACCAGTTGACAAGCCATAGACATGTTACATAGCGCAGAAACTCTTCTAATTGTCTTAGCAATTAAGATCTGTAATTACACATAGAATTTGTCCTGATCCCAGGTTGTTTTAAACAAAACTTGACTTCTGCTTGTAGTTAATTGGCAGGCTGTAAACTTGTGGTTACCAGTCTGTGATCAACGGTAGTTAAGTTCTCCCTATCTAAAAAAGGACATAAATGGGATTCCAATCAAGGGCTAGCTCTCTAATCACGGCCCACAGAGGTGATACGAGTCTGTAAGGGTAAACTATAATAAATAGTGACTATAATAAATTCTTAAAGGTAAAGAGCTGAAATTGATTGTTTTGAGTGCAGCTTTTCAAAAAGATGCATCTTTGGCTTGTTCCTTTGCGGTACATTACTGTTAGCTTTTCCACAGGAACCACATTTGATATTGCACCCTTAAAATTGATAAGCACAAAGAAAGTTTGTATGTGTGTGCACATGCTTGTGTGTTTGTTTTCAACTCATGATTCACATTATTATATCCATTTTTCTAATATTAGTTTGATGGCGATTATATTTTCTACTGGGCCAAGTACCAATAATGTCTTTGTTAAATTTACTGCAGTTCAAAGGAAACATCCAGTCTAATAGATAATTCAATGATAGATTTTTATTTTAAAAATGGGGAAAATAGTATATGTCAGATATTCCTGTTTAGAGGGTTTTTTTTTTAAAAAAAGAAAAAAAATATCAAAAAGGCTTATCCAGTATATTTTATTAAACTAAAAAGTCGTTAGGGTCATTGGTTTCCAGATATAAAAAGTAAATACCTCCCATTCTAGAAATTCTCAAAATATATTGATTGTCTTGACAATTATTACTTTAGTCATTTTCTAAGTGTCTTAGAGTAGAACCTTGTTGAACAATAATTGTCAAAAGGACATTTTTGTCAGATATGTCGGGTTTTTTGAAAAGTGTTAAGATGTTAATTGGAAAGTGGATGTGCTTTATAAAGTGGTTTTTCAGTTGTATAATTTAAAAATTATTGCACTGTTTCATACTCAGTATTAATATTTCTTGTCAGATATTCAAATACTATTGTAACATTTTAATGCTTCCTTTTTAAAACAACTTGCTTTTAAAAAAATAACAATGGTTTAAGAAAAGTTATAAACTCCATTCTATATTTGTTTCCTGGCAATAGGGCATTAGAAAGTAAAAGTTTTTTCTTGCATAATTAAGCAATAGAACTGTGTCTACAAATGTATGCATTTTTAAAAACTGGACAAAAATTCATTGAAATTGATACAGTAGAAGAAATATCCATCTAAATGAGATTATAATTAGAACATTAAAATAAATGATTCTATATCAAATTGAATTTAACAGAGATTTGTGTCTTTGAGATGGTCAGAGAACCTGAGCTGCATAAGGAAATTTAGGCACCTGTTCTGGTACATGGAATCTAATGCTCACTGCTCATCTCAGAACTCATTACAGATGGTTATTTGAGGTCAATATTAAGATATTCTATTGGAAGCAATCTGACAACTTCTTGGAAATGTGATTGGTATCTCTGACTAGGATAAGACAGGCACTCTTTTATATAATTCTGAAAAAAGTCTTAAGTTCAACATTTATTTATAAACATTTGGGTTGTAAACTAATCTTAGCCAGGCAGTTTGATTTATTGGAAAATACTATTTAATTAAAGTTCTTGCCTGGATGAACCTTAATATTTAAAATGGAAAGGTGCCTGTCTGAAGTTAAAAGTAGAGTCGCTTTTACAAAATTGCATATTTTTCATGTATTAAATATCTGGCAGAGGAACAGTTGGTGCTTTAATAGCTGAAATCACTATATGTTCAAATGCACAGCTTCAAGAAATTGTGTAACAAATGCAACATTACTTGTCAATGTATAAACAGACTTAGTTAAATGGAAGAGATTCTCTTGTGTGCTCTCTCTTTCTCACACATTACAATCTCGTGTAAAGTCCTCTGTTAATTTGTACAAGCCCATTTTTAAATTGTCTGTATGCTAATCCTCACTTTTTTATGAATTCCTTAAAATTTTTAGTTGCATGAAGATAGTCCGTTTGCTATATCCTGAATGTCCCACCACTGTTTAATTAGAAGTTCCTAAGTATTGTAGTACTTTGAGAAAAAAAACTTAACTTTTCTCACACTTCAGAGGAAATATTTTAAGCATACTAATAATATTTACTTAAAGTGTCTGCATGATTTTTAAAATTGGAAATTTTACAGTGTATACCTTTCCACCAAATATGTAGAAGCATGATAGAAAGAAGACTCATATCTCTTATAACCTCAGACTTTCATCATAATGCCAAGCATATTAAAATTCATCTGGACATACCCTATTATTTATTTGCTTGATTCTAGCTGAAAGTTGAGTTTCCAATTAGCAAAGTCATGTATCAAAATGCTAAGACAGTTCCTGTACTGCACAGTTCAGATCATCTACTGTTCCTTGAAGTCTTTGAAGGCTTGGTTGGACATTTTCTTCTATCCATTCTTCTATAGCAGTGCTGTAGAAAATCTTTTTCATGGCTGTTTGCAATTCTTCTGTTAGAACAGTCCATTTGGTCAGAAGCCTAAGCAAAAAAAGTGATGCCATATGTTGAATAAAATACTTACATACTACAAAGAAGATGCACATAGGAGAAGATGCAAGGGGAGTATGATGTGGCAGAAGTATTCATTCTCTAGTTGATAGTCAGCATTAAATAGGACATTAAAACATTACTTTCCCCATTACTTTTCAATTCAATGTGTTCCCTTCTTATTTAAGCTTCTTTCTTGTCAACTCTATTTCTTCAATTATGCAACCTTGTTCTCCTTTGTACTGTGCAAGATTTGCTGATCTCTATTTCTCTCTACCTGGCTCTAAAGAGCCTGTTGAGAGTTACTGCAGTCAATATAGATAATACTGCCTTGAGGGCCCAGCGATCTGATTAAATACAATCTATTTCATCATGTTTCCCATCTCTGAAGTTGCTCATGCTTCTAATTCTTGTATAATCCTATTTTCTCTCCTGTGTATTCAAGATTCTGAGATCTGAAGAGATTCTGCTTCTCAGCCTGTTTCTTTCTTCAGATCCTATATGTGTTTCTTTCTCCACAATTCAATTTCTTTTATCATTTTCTGACACCTAATATCCAGTCCCATTTCATATTTTTAATTATGTCTCAGCCCATCCTTCTACTAATTCTCGTCTCTAGATATTAACATTTCTGCCTAGCTAAATTCACCTTTCACGTCCCATGAACAACCAGCACTTTGTCAACGTTCTTTTTTAAAGCCTTTTAAGCTGGCAATTTAAATTTCCACAAATAATTCATGATTTCCAACAGTCCTGTAGTTTGAGGAAGTTCAAAAATAGGGGATAGATATATTTGTTTTTATTCATCTCTCTGCCTTTAAGTGTGTTACTTATTTGATACATACACATACAACCACATACAAGTGAATCAGTGAATAATTTACTTTTATTAATAAGGTAATAAGGGAAATATTTTGCTATTTCTGAATTTGATTAAGTTATAGACTCTGTCAGCTGACCAAAATTTACAATAACATACATAACTATATCTGAGCTGATGCACTGAAATCAATGAGATATATCTGTTATGACTAATAATGTAAGTTCCATTAACTATGGCTCTAAACCTGATTGAATCTGGTTTGAATCCATAAAGAACATCACTTAAGTCTCAGCCTACAGGACTGCCTGTATTGATGGGTTTGAACAAGAGTGTAGATTTATAGCCATCTGTCTGTCCCAAATTAAGTTTTAAAAATGCAGACTTTGAGTGAGATCACAGATCTTGAATTACCTTATGGCATCTGGCTGAAAGTGATGAATCATTATAGGATGGATCTTCTTTCTTTTTCTGTGGTAGGGACTAAACCAACCTGTAACATATCTAAAAATTCAGACTGATATGAATGAACAAAAACAAACAATGAGTTGAGAGACATCACATAAATCCATTTATTCTATTTAAAATTTAGAAGGCATTTATTCAGGACCATTTAACACAATATTGATACTCTTTAAATGCCATGTAACCATGATGTATTTATTGGGTAATTTAATACATAACAAAATGATACTGTATTTTATACAAATGCAAATTCAATTATATATAAGAATATCTAAGAATCAACTTTTTTTTGGTGGGGGGGATAATTTCTCACCTGTTATTTTCCAAAAGTTCATCTACTGAAGATTTGAGGTAAAACGCAATTTGAGTCACAAATGAGAGAATTTCATTTCCTGGGAAAGTCCCTGTGATATCACTGTTCAAAAAGAGAATCTGCATCAGCTTTCATAATAAGTGGCTAGAAAAAAACATTTTATTCATTGTAAGTGACTAAATATTATATTGTTCATTTGATTGTGAATTTCTCTGGGCAGCCTTTTTAAAAGGGAATTTTTTAAAAAAATATTAATAAAATTTATTTATTTATTTATTTTATTATATTTTTATACCGCCCTTCTCCCGAAGGGCGGTATAAAATAGCCATAATATAGCCATAATAAAACAATATACAAGACAAATTTAAAAACCATATTAAAATAATTCAATTTTGGCCAAATTTAAAATTCCCATTCTAAAACCCTTATAAAACCATATTAAAACCCATATTTAAAACCCAATTAAAATTATTGTCCCATCAGACCGGCTTGTTGGAATAACAGGGTCTTCAGCGCACGACGGAAGGCACGGAGGTCAGGGATTCTTCGTATATCCGGGGGCAATTCGTTTGATAGGGCAGGAGCCCCCACAGAGAAGGCTTTCCCCCTGGGAGTTGCCAGTCGACATTGTTTGGCCGATGGCACCCTGAGGAGGCCCTCTCTGTGGGAGCATATCGGTCGGTGGGAGGCAGTCAGTGGCAGCAGGCGGTCCTGTAACTATCCAGGCCCTAAGCCATGGAGCGCTTTAAAGGTGGTAACCAACACCTTGAAACGCACCCGGAAGACCACCGGGAGCCACTGCAGCTCATGCAAGAGAGGTGTTACATGGGAGCAACGAGTCGCCCCCCATTATCACTCGTGCAGCCGCATTCTGGACCAGTTGGAGCCTCCGGGTGCTTCTCAAGGGAAGCCCCATGTAGAGAGCATTACAATAGTCCAGATGGGAATATTGGGAAAGAATGAGCTTCCTGATCATTTAGGCCTTTATGGATGATGCCTGAACCCTATTCAGGTACCTATTAAATGAGGGAAGAGGATAAGCCTTGGTCTTCTCTAATCAGTAGAAAGATCAATCTACTGCAGGAAAAAAATGTATAGTTGTTGACTTCCTCACAATAAAGAACTTCAATAGCAAAAATCTCACTTGACACAGATGTCCTTGCCATATTTGCTTATGTCTCTGTTAATAAGATGTCATTAGTATATCCTTAGAGGAAGAATGAATGAGTGCTAAATGAGTTGTTAAAGGAGAAATGGATGGCAGTTTTCTATCCAATGACAATGAACAGATTTTATCAAATCTTCAGAAATGGAAGACATATCTTTGTCTTCCTGCTGGCTTCCTCACTGATATGGAAAGTCAGCAGGAAAGGTCACAAATTGTATTCACATGACCATGGGTACAGCAATGGTTGGAAATTCAAGCCAGTTGCTGAGTGCCCAGATCACAATCAAATGACCATGGGAATGCTGTAATGGACAAAATTACAAGGACCCATGGTCAGTACCATTTGTTCAGCACCATTATATCTTTGAATAGTTACTAAACAAATTAACATAACTCAAGGACTACCTGTAATTTAATTAACCTTGATTGGATTGCTAAATATTTAAGACAAGGAAGTCAACTTGTGGTCTTATACCTCCTTTTTCAATGGCCTCACTATCCCTCCAAGATACTATTATCCTTGGAAATCCCTTCCATGTAAGTTAAAAAATGTATTATGCAGCTTTGCTTACTTCTAATTTAGGAGAAAGGATGTGCAAAACTCACTAACTTGATAATGGAATGTTTCAGAGAAATCTGGAACATCTCCCCTTCAAACCATGCCATTTTGGGTGTGGTTCAACAGTTTTATGAGTTGTGATATCTCAAACCACTTCTGCTTTTGGAGGATTACTTCCAGAAAGAGCTGAACTGTTCCTGAAATGCCACAGTAAAGGGATTTTGGCACAATTTTAAGGCAAAACAAAATGTTGTAATTCTCTAGAATGTTCTACTCTGAAATCCTTATTTTGAAGATGAGTAGGAGTAGATTTAATTTGTAATAATAATTCAATAATAATGAAAAACTTGGTACTTTTACCTCATGAAGCTTTCTATTTCCAAATGGGAGAGCCCCAGTAATTTTTCTACATCTTCTCTCACTTTTTCTGAATAGCCACCTTAAAGATCCAAAGAAGAGCTTTTTTAAGCATAAAATTTGGAAAAGGAAACAAAATTGAATAATTATCTTGTACAGCAATTTATTACAATGATAATGGAAAGTTGAGGAATGCCAAAAATGTGTCATTAGTGTTCAGACATGCTCCTGCTACCTCATTTCATGTTGGTGATAATTGCAGTAAAGGTCCTGTTCAGATGTTCCTCAGTTATATCAGTTCTCTGGATACACCTTGCCCATCCCTCTCCTGTTGCTGAAAAGATGTTGATCCTATAAACACTTTTAACATGTGGCATTTGTAATCTCCTTCAGATTATATCTGTCTCTGAAATTCTAAATAAATATGTAAATAGCTTAAAATTATCTGATAATCTTTTCTATTTGATGCCATATACGGAATATCTAAGATAGGGCTCAAATATTTAAGGGAAGTAAGGGAGTTACAAACCACTTTATCACTGCCTCAAGTTCCTGTTTGTTATCTCACATATTGATATAAAACAATTAGCCATATAAAGTACTAAATGTAGCGAAAGAACACAGCTGCCTATTATAAGTTAAAACCTAAAAAAAATATGGGTTAAATTAGATGTGAAAAAGGTATTTCAAAGGAATCCAGATTTTTTGATATTAGTAATCCCAAAGTTTCCTTGCAATGCTGGCATGGTTTAATCTTGTGAGTTATTGGAACTTTTGGGAACAATATTTTAATACACGTATCATTCCAAAAATGTGGAAATTTACTGTTTTTAGGAAATTTGGTTATCAGGCATGAGGAACTGTTAAGAGCCTTATTTTGAGATATTAGAAAAGCAATACTATTCTGAATAGTAAGTACTGGAGTCAAGATGTGTAATGTATCTATTTTTGAAAAAGCATTCTACTAGTAAAAATTTTTTCTTTGGCACATATTTCAAGACATTTTACAAGATTTTTTTATTTGAAATGTTGATACATTGTTTAAAACTTGATACAGACGGTATGCCTAGATTGTTCATAATTTTTGTTGTTTATTGTGTTTTTATTTTTGCTTATTTTTGTATTTTTTATAGTTTGTTGTTTTGTTTTGTTTTTTAGTTTTGAGTGTATGCTTTATTAAACTTGTAATAAAATGAAATAAAATATTGTTTGTGTTTTTATTGTGATGCTGTTAAATGGCTGTGAGAATAACTTTGGGAGACAGGAGGAACACAGAGGAAATAGAGTGAAGGGACTCTTCCTAGTTCTCTTGAAAATAAAAGCGGAGAGGGGAGAAGTGTTATTAGACTTGCAAGATTCTGTTACTATAACGTTACAATAAAGTTAGTGTTAGTACTCATGGTTGTGAGTTCCTGTTTGGATTACCTCAAAGAACTGATAGATCCTAAGCATGTGTTTAACTGACTGAAGAAAGAACCATACTGTACCATTCTTTAATGCTTGGAGACATATGGCTAAGGATGGAATTCCCACAGGCAGAAGTTCACACAAAACGGAGAAGTGATCATACCTAAAGAAGAAAATGCAGGCCTAGTGAGGCAGTATAGCAGTAGCACCTCAGATTGCAAGAACTTTAGGAAAACACACTTCTTCAGTTAACACAAGTAACACATCTGAATGTGCTTTTCCAGTGTGTCTGAACACCTTTATGTAATACAATTATTAGGAGATGCAATATGAAAGGAAATCTTGGGTCTTAGGAAATCTGGAACTAAGGATAGTTGTGAAAATGATACAAATGGAAGATGCCAAAGAAGTTTGGACTCAGTTGGAGACAATCATTAAATTAAATGGAGAAAGTGGAAATTTTGTCTCAAGTCCCAACACAATAGTCCCAACACGATCAGGAATTTAAAGCTGTTTTTTTTTAAGCTAGGACTTCATGATTATGTATGATAATTTAGTATGAAAAATTGGCCCAAACTAATTTTAAGAATGTTCTTCCAATTTTCAATATACTAATAATGCTATAATGTCTACTGATCTGTATACCATGTAGTTACCTTTGCCAGCCAGTCAGAGTGATTCCTCTTATGATACCAGCAGGACAGCTCTTAGCCACTTTCAGCCATTGCTCGTGGTTTTTAAGATGATGTCCAATGAGTGTCAAGCACTGGTTTACTCCAGTGGCTCCTTTAAAGGCACTAGCAAACCAGAATTTTGAGAAGTTACACTTCTGGTACTTTTCAATGAGATTGGCTGCATAAAAAAGAGACAGCAATGACATGGGTTGCATGAACTATTAAAAGGCAAGGGAAAATTTATGGTCAAAATTTATGAAAAATTTGGGGTGTTAAGGCCCTGTTCTTACAGCTGATTTGCAATAAGTACAAACCTAAATTCAGATTAGTAATAAAGCATTAAAAGATAGTGATTCTATGGCTCTGTCTACAGAGCTGATAAACTCAGTTAAAATGTAGGATCTGAATTTGCCTAATATTAACTTCTTTTTTCAAAAACATACCTCTAAGCACTACTACTTATGATTATGATTATTATTTCACCTAGGTAATCATTTTAAAACTTTTGAAATGAGTGGGACTTTCCCACAGAGATTCTTTTCTTTGCACTGATAGGTTTATTATTAAAACATGCCTACTTTCTCTTTCCAAGATCTTTTTAAGAATAATTGTACAAATTGTACCTGTTGAAATGAAACTGTAAAAAAGACTTAGAAGCAAAGAGCTAATTATTTCTTTACTTTAACATACAGTCAGGTCCAGAAATATTGGGACATCAACACAATTCTAACATCTTTGGCTCTATACACCACCACAATGGAGTTGGAATGAAACAAACACAATGTGCGTTAACTGCAGACTGTCAGCTTTAATTTGAGGGTATGTACATCCAACTCAGGTGTACGGTGTAGGACTTACAGCAGTTTGCATATGTGCCTTCCACTTGTTAAGGGACCAAAAGTAATGGGACAGAATAATAATCATAAATCAAACTTTCCCTTCTTAATACTTGGTTGCAAATCCTTTGCAGTCCATCACAGCCTGAAGTCTGGAACACATAGACATCACCAGACGCTGGGTTTCATCCCTGGTGATGCTCTGCCAGGCCTCTACTGCAACTGTCTTCAGTTCCTGCTTGTTCTTGGGGCATTTTCCCTTCAGTTTTGTCTTCAGCAAGTGAAATGCATGCTCCATGGGATTCAGGTCAGGTGATTGACTTGGCCATTGCATAACATTCCACTTCTGTCCCTTCAAAAACTCTTTGGTTGCTTTTGCAGTATGCTTTGGGTCATTGTCCATCTTCACTGTGAAGCGCCATACAAGGAGTTCTGCAGCATTTGGCTGAATGTGAGCAGATAATATTGCCCAAAACACTTCAGAATTCATCCTGCTGCTTTTGTCAGTAGTCACATCATCAATAAATACAAGAGAACCAGTTCCATTGGCAGCCATACATGCCCACGCCATGACACTACCACCACCATGCTTCACTGATGAGGTGGTATGCTTAGGATCATGAGCAATTCCTTTCCTTCTCCATACTCTTCTCTTCCCATCACTCTGGTACAAGTTGATCTTGGTCTAATCTGTCTATAGGATCTTGTTCCAGAACTGTGAAGGCTTTGTTAGATGTTGTTTGGCACACTCTAATCTGGCCTTCCTGTTTTTGAGGCTCACCAATGGTTTACATCTTGTGGTGAACCCTCTGTATTCACTCTGGTGAAGTCTTCTCTTGATTGTTGACTTCGACACACATACACCTACCTCCTGGAGAGTGTTCTTGATCTGGCCAACTGTTGTGAAGGGTGTTTTCTTCACCAGGGAAAGAATTCTTCGGTCATCCACCACACTTGTTTTCCGTGGTCTCCCGGGTCTTTTGGTGTTGGTGAGCTCACCGGTGCATTCCTTCTTTTTGAGAATGTTTCAAACAGTTGTTTTGGCCACGCCTAATGTTCTTGCTATCTCTCTGATGGGTTTGTTTTGTTTCTTCAGCCTAATGATGGCTTGCTTCACTGATAGTGACAGTTCTTTGGATCTCATCTTGAGAGTTGACAGCAACAGATTCCAAATGCAAATAGCACACTTGAAATGAACTCTGGGCCTTTTATCTGCACATTGTAATTGGGGTATTGAGGGAATATCACACACCTGGCCATGGAACAACTGAGAAGCCAATTGTCCCATTACTTTTGGTCCCTTAACAAGTGGGAGGCACATATACAAACTGTTGTAAGTCCTACACTGTTCACCTGAGTTGGATGTACATACCCTCAAATTAAAGCTGACAGTCTGCAGTTAACGCACATTATGTTTGTTTGTTTCATTCCAACTCCATTGTGGTGGTGTATAGAGCCAAAGATGTTAGAATTGTGTCGATGTCCCAATATTTCTGGACCTGACTGTATGTCAACAAACGAAATAAGCTTTCATTTCTTGCTTATATATCTTGTCCACAAGAATAATTGTAAGTTTTGTTAAGATGATAGAATGGATGTGATTCATACATGCTAAGCCATACAGTCCATTGGTTTAGCACACTATGCAAATTCAGACTGTCAGATCTTAATCAAAATCTGTAATCATGACTCGATCCATATCTTATCCCAACCAAATAAATGGCTAGCTTATAATTAGAAGCCATTAATCTTTTGGGAAAAGAGCAAAAAGGGCAGAAACACCAGCAAATGGGTTGTTTCTGTAGCAATATTTCTGCTGCTTCCACCTTGGTTTAATTCTAGACGATGTGTATGTTTCTGTGTGAGCAAAAGGGGACTGTTGCTAAACAAGCATATTCTGGCAACATCCAATGACCTTCCTGCCTAAATGGAGATTTAATCCCAATTTTAGCGTAACATACTATCTGCTGAATGCAGGGCTTTGGGAAGCTGTATTTACTCTGATCATCAGGCCTGTGTATTTTAGTTACATTTTTTCAAGTGAAAACATCCAAGTACAAACCTTTAGTCTCCACCTCAAGATCAGGAGAATAATCCCAAATCATCAGCTCTATCAGTTGTGCTAACCCAGAATCTGGAAAGAAGCAGAAATGTAAATGATTGTGAAGATCAAACTTTTGTGATGTTTGCTCTCTGTTTTGTATGAACAATTCTTCTTTCTGTAATTTAGAGAACAGATTCTGAAAAGAAAGTTGCTGCCTCTCTTAGAATGGATTAATGAAGCCAGGAATGAAGTGATTTTAGCAAAACAAGGGATTTTAGCATGCAGTCGTGAAATAGTGGAAGATATGGTGATTTAACAATGTTTTTCCTTTCTTACTGTTTCAAATTATTTTAATTTTAAACCAGTTCTGGATAATTATGGAGAATGTGGAGGTATACGTCAAATTCTTGGTCCCAACCCCAAAAATGGTTTGTGAGGGCAAGACTGAAGAAAATACAATCCTCCTGCAATTTCTCAGTTCTGTATCAAATCAGAACTTTATTTACCGCTAATTCAACAGTATCTTTAGTATTATTCCAATTCATTTCCTTAAGGTATTTCTACATTTTGAAATCATTTCCTATTATTTGAAGCAGGAGCATTTATATTGGGATTTTTATTTTTAAACTGTTTCCCTGTTCACAATAGACATTCTTGTCAGTGCTAATTATAATAATTATAGGTTTAAATGCCTTAATTGTGTATTTTTTGTGTGTATGTCTTTAGTGTTCCCAAAAGAACTTCACTTCAAACAGTTTATCAATCTGACTTTATCCATCTTTTTAAAAAATTACCAGGTTCAAGTGTTTACTTTTTTTTATGATGTTCAGACTCCAAAATAGTTGGTAGAAATAGTTACTAAACAAACATACCTTTTTATGAAAAATGCAAAAGGCTTTTCCAAATGGTCAAACAGTTTCATTATGCATTTAGAATAACTATCTCCACTATGAAAAGAAAGAAAGGAAATTTTCCTTTATAGTTATTATAATTGGTCTTTCTTCTGCAAAAGTACCTCAAAATCCTTGAGAGATTATGGGATTATAATGTTTATATTCCCAATATGGTGCACAAAAGAAAGTTTGGTTGATATTTGTGTGCCCACTGGCTCGTTTTCAAGCAACACAATTACCAAATGTCCATACAGTATGGTTTTTAAACAGCTAATCTTACCCAAATGCATGTTCCTTCCTGCTCAATTTAGCTATAGATACTAGCCATAATTTATTTATGACTATTTCATACAGATAATTTCAAAAGGAGATAGTGTGTGTGAGAGACCCCAAACAAATACAGGTAGGAGATCTGGTAGTCAGGCTATTCTGGTCAGCAGGGACTTTCACATTAAGCAAGCCTAATGGCTTATTATTTAGTGGAAATGTGACTAATGAAAAGTGACCTCTCAGAAATCATTGAGTTTGCTCCAATATTCCAAAACTGCAGCTGGAATTCTCCTGAACTGACTACCTACCTCTCAGAGTTTCTTTGCTCGTTCTCCTCAGCATGTCATCCCACACAATTGGTTTCACTGTGGGATGGGTTGAGACTACATGACTGGCCACTGCTTTCATATGGGCTAGACACAACTTTTCAATAGTATTTTCTTCTTGCTGCAGCCATTCCTTGGATTCTTCTCCTTCACCAAGGTAATACACCTGAAGATATTAAATCAAAATTTTGTTCAGTGATATTTTTTCTTTAGGGTACCTTCTATATTGCTATGTCATTTGGAAACAGGCTTTCCCAAATGATCAAAGAGCTGCTTTTCGCATTCAGAATGATTATCTTTACCATGAAAAGAAAGAAGGGAAAATTTCATTTATTACTGCTATTCCTTCTGTCAGTCATGTTAAAATGGACTAATGAATGTGAAAACCAGCAAAACCCAAAATTCTACATCTAAAAAATTGATGTGGACAAGGCAGAAATCAAAAGAAATCTGGTTTTAACACACACCTCAAGTATAAAATTATTGTACTATTTTGCACTAACAGCAGGCAATCAACCACTCTGTGTGGGTTCATTCTTGTCAGAAATAAAGATTCTAATTTAGCAAAGCCGCATCTGGGAATCTTTAGCCATGTCACAGTGAGGAGTCAGGCTCAACTTTTAAGTGTTTAGAGATCTGTGATTTCCCTCACTGAGAAACCTGACAAAATCCTGCAGGCATTATTAATTGTATCCCAATGTTTATGAAGTAGTAAAGTTAAACTATACTGTGTTGTTTATAAGAAAATACCTCATGATATCAGATTGCAGGTAGTAGCAAGGCAAAATTGTTATTATTAATCTAAGTATAGGTGTGAACACAATGGAAAATACATTTTCTTGCAAATATGAAATAAACCATGAAATTACTCTGGGTGTTGACTGAAACAAAACCCAATGGAATTATGTTGTTTTACAGGGTGACTAGAACAATGTTAGTGTGTGTCGTCTCATCTCTCTGCATGGACTTTGTGATGACCTGCTTGTCCATCTTTGTACTGTCTCCCCTTTCTTTTTTCCTTTCAGCTACCTCTACTGCCAATGTCCCAATTTGGCCTATTCCACCAGCCTACGCTTTCCTTGAGCTGTTGCTACTGCACTTTTCCACTCACCCCACCCCCACTTGTGCTCAGAAAAACACATTTTAGTCAGTATCTGGAACAAAGCAGCTTTTGTGTTTTGTGTAGACCACAACAACTGAATCACAGATAATTTGTTTCAGGAAAGCAGCTAACTGAAATATATGTTTTTTGTGTTTTCAACCTTGTCTTGCAAGGAGGTTTCCTCAACTTCCTTACAACAGGGTACAATCAAAGTAACAGAAAAGTTAATGCAAGTGGCTAAAATAAAAGATACAAAAGTGTAAGTTTTGATGCATAACAAAAGCTGATCAGAATGATCCCAAGGAAGTTGGCATGAAGGGAAACATTAAAATAGCCTCAAGTAGACCCAGGGCAAGATAAGCAACAAATAAATTTAACAAATAAATAATTTAACAAAAAAAAATCCTACAAGGAAACATATTAATGTGCCCAACGGCTATGACCGCTGCTAAATGGCCCCGTCTTCCCTGATCAAATTCAGCTCATGTTTCCAAGCATTACCTCATCACAGCCAATGTGAAACCATCGGAGATCGTCATGTAATGCCATTACTTGCTCTATCATTGCAATAACCAATTTCAAGGAATCCTCTTTATGGGGGTTCACTGTGTTGGGGAACATTGCCACTTCCCGGAGGTGGCAGAATTCTTTGTGCTTCAAAACAAACTGCAGGGGAAGCAAGAACCAGAGGCAATAATCCATAAACCAAAGCAAATCCAGAAAATTGCATACCTACAAATGCAAGTCTGTTTAAGTAAACCTATCAATAAAACAACTCAGAATTGCAAAAAATAAAACAAACAGTGGTGAATCGTTCCTAACTAGGAGCTGGCACTTACCTCCATATGTCCAAACGTCTGTATTAAGGGGATAACTTCTAAATCATGCGACTTTGCCAGCTTTAAAATCTCTTTAATCTCAGCGGGACTAGAAGGAGAGACATTTATTAATAAATTATACATTTAATGCCAGTTTTTTTTGTTTAGAATTCCATCTTACATGGATGTGTTTCCTTTGCATAGTGGACAGATTGCATCTACTTTATATGTCCATACCTGCAGCAAATTTAAACTAAATATTAGATAATCTAGTTCAGGGCTGTCAAACTCCCTGCCCGCGGACCAGATGCGTCATGCGCTGCCTACGCCCATGCCCGGTTTAGCGGAGGGCAAAAAAGTCCCAATACGTCATGTGATGCCGCCGTGATGTCGGTTTGACACCCCTGCTCTAGATTCTAAACCACTACCCAGTACAGAGCAAAGAGAAGACATTAGCACTAAATGGAATTGGTTTTGTGGGATATTTAAAAAAAATTGTTTGCCCCTCAGTAGTAAATTTATATCAGTTCCAATTACTCGGTACAGCTCTATAAAATCTGAGGTTTCAGGGAGACAAGAGAACCAGAGCCTATGTCTCAATCTTGGCTCTTCTGAGATGACCAGCTGGCTAACATACCTGTATGCATCATTTGCTCGGAGTGGCTTCAGTTCTCCATCATAAGGGTACATATCCTCATATTCAAGGAGAATACCATTTGCACCCAGGACATTGAGCAATGGGAAGATCTGTTGGTTGCATAAAACATCTCAAATCTCTAGTCAATGGTGAATTGCTACATTTAATTTTATAAGAAAACAATGGCCTTAGAAAATGCCTCCCGGATATATTGATACCTAGCATTCGATCTTGTGAGATAGCATTTTAAACTTTTTTTCCCTGCTTAAAAAATAGACAAGCATAGAGCGGAATCTACTTCAGTATTCTCCTTTCTTATAGAGAAACTATAAACCGTATGCATACAGTACAAAATTGGGGAAGAATCAGCTTTCTTCTCTCAAAATGCTAGAACCCAGGTTCATATATTTCAAGTGAATGTGGGAGATTCAGAACAACTAATAGGAACAACACAAAGCACATATTTAATGGATGCAATGGAAAGATGATGGCTGGAAAATATGATCCCAAGGTAGGAGGGATTAGATAAATTCACAGAAGATAATGGCTAATAGTCATTATGGTTACATAATACAGGTGGTCCTTGATTTATGACCATTTGCTCAGTGACTGTTCAAAGTTATGACAGATCTCTCTGGGGATTACTTATAAAACAGATACCCAGTTCTGACGGTCATCCCGCCCAGAGGTGGGTTTCAGCAGGTTCTGACCAGTTCTGGAGAACCGGTAGCGGAAATTTTGAGTAGTTCGGAGAACTGGTAAATACCATCTCTGTCTGGCCCCACCCCCGCTTCCTGAGTCCCAGCTGATCGGGAGGAAATGGGGATTTTGCAGTAACCTTTCCCTGGAATGGGATGGGAATTGAGATTTTATAGTATCTTTCCCCTGTCACGCCCACCAAGCCACACCACGCCCACCAAGCCACGCCCACAGAACCAGTAGTAAAAATTTTTGAAACCCATCACTGATCCCACCGTATTACTTCACTGGACTTCAAGAGCTCAGCAACTGGAATGCATTTATGGCCATTTGCAATCTCATAACATTTGAAAATGTTATAAAACATTTGACCATGTTCTATAACATATTTTGCCAAAAACTGGCATTTATTTCAGGTTTTTGGCAAAACCACGTCCACAGCAAACTACCCTGTTTCCCCCAAAATAAGACATCCCCTGATAATAAGCCCAATCGGGCTTTTGAGCACATGGCAATAAGGCCAAGCACTTTTTTCAGGGTTCAAAAAATTATAAGACAGGGTCTTATTTTCAGGGAAACACGGTATTGATTTGCTTAATGATTGCAGCATTCACTTAGTGATCACAGCTGAAAAATCTGGTTAGTCACATGGTTGACTCACGTTACAACCGTTGTGAATTACAACATGATGGGCAGGCCCCATTACGATCATAACTCAAGGATTATTGTACTACCAGCATTCGAGACAATAAATCGCTGGGGAAAACAGGTGGGAAATGCTCCTATGCTATCAGAGACATTTACTTATTTAGTGTGGTACTAGAAATATGGCTAGCCTAATTCAGCACAACCCTTGAGTTCTTCCTAATGTCACATTTCAAAGCCAGTTATAGCTGATTTAGAAGCCATTATTTCTAAAGTATTATTTTCCAGGCCGTTGTTCTTCTTAATTGCAGAGTTAATTGAATTGTAGTAGCACTGCAGCTACTCTATACAAAATAGATATAGGAATGTTACTGTAATTGATTGACTGATTGATTACATTTATCTGCCACCAGACTCCTATTGAACTCTCCTCAGCAATTATAGAATTTATAGATTGAAGACTACTTTTTTGAGCTGGGTGGAGCTAGAAATCAGTTCCCCGATTATACACATAAAGACTGTGTTACCTCTGCCAGGTATGAGACTCTGGGTGGAGCCCCCTTGAGATCCAGATGCACCAGGTGCAATTCAAATGGAGATGAAACCATCGTTATATTTTGTTCTGTCTTTGTTGTCAGCGGTACACCAAATGATATACTGGAAAAGAGCAGTAGCATTACCACTTGCCTCATTTGCCCCATCATTAAATAGGATAATAGAAAATTGCTACAAAACAACATTTTTTGAGTCTTTATTCTTACAGGAGGGCACAATGTTAAAATAAGCAACACTCATATTTTCTTCATGGCTTTTACAAAGCAAATACCATAGATGACCATCCTATTATATAAGTGGAAGCAAATTTTCAATTACTTAACCCTTACAACATGGGTCAGAAAAAAAAAGTTAAATTAAACCTTGGATCTTCAGTATATATGGTCTGAGTCTTATTGTTGACAATCGCTAGCTTTTTGTTTTCTTTTAAAAACCTTATAATATTTTATGCCTCTGAATCTCTACCTGCATTCTTTTTTCAGTAATGGTTTGGGAGAAGCCTGATGCTAGTAGCCTGAGAGTGTTATCACACTGATTATCCTGCCTCATAATTACAGGGCCATTTAGTTACATAAAGCTCTTCACTCCAAGGATGATGTTTGTTCCTATAAGAGACTGATGTTTTGAAGCTGTCCTTTCTGAAAGAAATAGTTCAACCTCCTGTTATATGCCTAACCTTTCCCACATACAGGTAGTCCTCAACTTACAACAGTTCATTTAGTGACTTCAATGCTCCAATGGCACTGAAAAAAAAATAGTTATGGCCATTTTTCACACTTATGACTATGGCAGCATTCCCATGGTCACATAATCAACATTCAGACGCTTGGCAACTGACTCATTTTTAAGACGGTTGCAGTGTCCCGGGATCATTTGATCCCCTTTTGCAAACTTCTGATAAGCAAAGTCAATGTTAAACCAGAGTCACTTAACAACTGTATTACTAACTTATCACCTGCAGTGATTAACTTAGCTTGATTAACTTAATAACTGTGTCAAGAAAAGTCATAAAAAGGGGAAAACTCACTTGACAGATGTCTCACTTAATAACAGAATTTTTAGGCCTAATTGTAGTCATAAGTCAAGAACTATCTGTATTCCTATTTCCTTCTCATCTTCAATCCATAAGCCTCATTCATCTCAAAGAGGAAATTTGTCACTTAGGTCAGTATAGGATGATATAAATTTTCCATTACGACTGAAATGTCTGTGCATGTTTCTTTGAAAAAAGCCACATCACGTTCAGAGAGTCTTCTCTCCAAGTAAAGATTGCTACCTTATAGCTTAATTTTATTTATCAGCATTCCGAGAAAGTTTAAATGTTACTGAGCCACTTTATAATAATTTAGCAGAAAATAGATATTAGGGTAATAGTTGCACTGGTATTTTAAAATCTGAATATTGCTAAATCTAAAAGCTTCACGACATTTTACAATATACAGCTGTCAATAAAGGAGGATATTTGACATAGTAAACTGCTTTATGGCAAATTCAGAATATTGATAGCTCAGCATGTCAACTCAAAGTCTCTTCTGAGTTAAAATCCTGGTGACTTCACAGACACATTCATATAATTTTTTGTAGCATTATTGACCTAGTTTGCTATGAACTTTTTCTAGGATGTTTTCAAATTCCCAAGCCTAATGTTTCTTTATGGTCTCCCATTCAAGCACTTAATGTTTTGAGAACCAGTCAAGAACCTGGCCATGAACAAAAGGCTCAACATATCTGGAAGGTACCAAGTTAACTGAACCAGCTTGCTGTTCTCTCAGCCCTATCTAGAGATGCCAGGGCTGCAACCTGAGATCTTCTGTGTGCAAAGTGTACCATATACACTGCAGTTATATAATATGCAATTCATGCCAAATTATTGGGACATATTGGGGGAAAATCCTATTTAATAAATCCATTTCTGCATGCTTTAGAACATATTTACATTCATTTATTTATTAGATTTACAAGCCACCCAATGCCAGAATGACTCTGGGCAACTTACCTTTAAAATAGAAAAACAATTAAAGAAAAAACCTAAACATCCAGACCATCTGCACATCAAACACTACCCACAAGGCCTAGGAGAATAACCACATTCTGAAGACTTTCTACAACGACTTAAGGATCTTTAGAAGTTGTTAAAAATTAAGAGCAGGTCACAAATGGGAATAATAAATACAACAATAAATTTATCCTCGAGGACATCACACGTTACCCGATGTTAAGGTAACAGCGTGAAATGGGTATATTTTACAGAATTGCAGCTGTTGACTTTCAATTCTGAGACAGCTGAGACAACTCGGACTAGCCAAACCTCCCACGCCCTTCTCCAAGTGCAAACTAGCGTCCAGAATTCAGTCCCTTCGCAGGGTCCCATCTCCTTACAGACAAAACAGCAGAAGGCACAGGAAAAATAACCAGAGTAAATGCAACCTCTTAGATATATTGTTAATGGCTCAAGCCCCATCCCCTACCCTGCGATCGCTCTCTCTCTCTTTTTTTTTTAAGCTCTGCACCTGCTTCCGAGTAACCTTATCGCAGCGGACGCACCTCTCCAGCAACTGCTCACCTTTCCACCTCCTCTGGCTTGTGTTCAGCTGCTCTAGGCTGGATTGAACATGCCTGACCGCTCGCGTTCTCCGAGATCAATGGCGCCTCCCTGAGCTTCCGGGTCGGGTGCTGTGAAAGCCTATTGGCCGATGCCTCCCTCCGCCCCCGCCCCCTCCATCCTCGTAGGTAGCATCCTAAAATCCAGGTAGAGCCGCTTTCATTGAAACAATGGCTCCACAGCGGCGGCCGGCCGGAAGGGCTCCGGAGAGTGGCGGTGCAGGTGCGGCGGTTCGAGCGGAAGAGCGTCGTCACTGCAGCAGGTACGAAGGTTGCAGCAGCGACGTCGAGTTGCTAATAGCTGCCCATTACGGCTCGGTATTGCGCATGTGAGAAGAAGGGAGCTCTTTGCAACTTCATCTTCCCCATCCCGCCAGGCTTCTTTCACTCCTCCTGCAGGGCTTTTGCCTAGCCTGGCTCTCTCTCTATCCAAGTGGACAAGCCTTTCCAGAATATATGCACCCAGGGACAGAGCTGGCTGTATTTAGAAGTCCTTGGGGGCCGGATTGGAGGCTGCAGTAAAGTCACACATATCCCAGAGGGTTGTGTGGCGAGGCTCAGGGCTTCTACCGGCATCATGAATCTAGAATATAATCACAAGGCAGCTCTTAATAATTTCTAATTGGACCGACTTGGATCCTTGCACTAAGGTGGCAGGTTGGAATCTGCTTGTAAGAAAGACGGTTTCTTCCTTCCCCCTTTGTTTAAGGGAGGTATTGATAGCTGGATTTTACAACACGACCTTACACAATTTGCAACCGCAATTGAACCCAAAATTTGTGCAAGGCATTAAGCAAGTTCCTCCCCCTCCTCCCATTTTACAACCTTTCTTGTTAAGTGAATTGGTGCAATTGTTAAGTTAGTAATACTGTTTATATTTTTATATTCTGTAAGCCGCCTTGAGTCGTCATGGGCGAATAGGCGACAATATAAATTCAACGAATAAATCAATTTGTTAAATGAATCTGGCCTCCCCATTGGCTTGTCAGAAGGTCGCAAAAGGGAATCACATGATCCCGGGACATTGCAACCATCATAAATATGTGTCAGTTGCCAAGGTCTGAATTTTGATCATGTGACCACAGGGATCCTGCAATGATTGTGTGAAAAATGGTCCTAAGTCACTTTTTTCAGTGCCGTTGTAACTTTGGCCACTAAATGAACTGTTGTAAGTCAAGGACTACGTGTATGAGTTCCCATGTTGAGAATATCTATGCTGCAGGAAAAGTAGGGGAAATTATAATATTTCAGCAGTGCAGATAAATACTTATGAATTATATTCATGACATGGGTAGCTGAATAAATAAAGAACTCTTAATGGAACAGTTCGTTAAGTTCAGCTTCCTTTTGATGCTTGTGTTGTTACTTGGCCAGTATTATGTAACCTTTATGTTTCTTCTAGATCATGGTGTTCCTCTTTCCTAATGAATTGGCTTAATTACCTCTGGCTAGTAACCGTACTGTATTAGCAGAGCATTGGATTTAGGCCAGAAATACCCTAACTTTATTCCCTCACCCAGCCACAGACGTTTTTTTGGATACTCTTGAATTACTTACATGTGGGCAACTTAATCTTTGCAAGTCCTTGTGAGGATATAAATAGGAAAGGCCATGGGGGAAGAGCTAGATAAAAATCTAGCTCAAATCTAGTCAAACTATTCTTCAAAGCACCTGAGGGTAGAACAAGAAGCAGTGGGTGGAAACTAATCAAGGAGAGAAGCAATTTAGAACTAGGGAGAAATTTCCTGAGGTTAGAACAATTAATAAGTGGAACAGCTTGCTTGCAGAAGTTGTGAATGCTCCAACACTGGAAATTTTTAAGAAGATGTTGGATAACCATTTGTCTGAAGTGGTGTAGGGTAGACTAGAAGACCTCCAAGGTCCCTTCCAACTTTGTTACTCCATTCTATTCTATTCTATTCTATTCTATTCTATTCTATTCTATTCTATTCTATTCTATTCTATATAATATTAAGTACAATAATTATAGAATTCTGCTTTTTCTGTAAGCTGTCAAGGCAGTTTATATGGGGATATCTGCACATTTTGTCTTCACAACAATTCTTTGAGATAGGTTGACTAAGAGAGACTGAATTGTTTCCCAAGTCAAACAGTGAATTATCTTTGTGTGCAACCTTGAACCTGGGTCTGTCCAGTGCAAATCCAAATTCTAAACCCCACACTGTTCTAGCTCTCTATAGTGAACTATAATCAAAAGACAGACATTTTAATCTTAAAATAATGATGAAAAAATAATGCACAGTAAAAGTATGAAGGCTTTTAAAACTTCATTGTAAAATCCAAAGTCAAAATATGAATTAAAGAAGAGAATAAAAGCATTCTGTTTTGTTTTCAGTGGCGTGAAAGATAATATTCAGAAAGATTCACGGCGAAAATGGTTAACAGCAGCTTTCCTTCTCTCATCTGCCATGCTGGGCTATCTTTTGAGTAGAAGCTACTTGTTCAGTGAAGATGGAGTTACGGAAGTATTGGCTCATCATGATGATAGCATCCCAGACAAATTCATTGAAGTACCCTGCTCAGAGGATTATGACAGCCATAAACGGTTTGAAGGTATTGAATAATTTGATTTGCATTGATGCTTTTTTAATAGTAATTTTATTAAAAATTACAATTACAATGATAAAAAAATTAATGCAAACTAAAAGAAAAAAATAAAAATAAAAGAAAAATAAGAATATAGTAAAGTGTGTGTGTGTATGTATGTGTGTCTGTCTGTCTGTCTATCCATCCATCCATCCATCCATCCATCCATCCATCCATCCATCCATCCATCTATCTATCTATGTCAGAGTTTAGGCAGCATGACTAGTATTATGAGATGAACCCAGGAGCAAAACACAGCACACAGAGCCTTTAGATAATTAACAGTGGTTTTATCTACAGCTAAATATATACAGACTTACATATGGTAAACGGACACAAAAAGAGCAATGAGATACACGACAAGAGAGAACATGAGGAGAAGGGAGATGCCCTCTAATGGTTTCCTTTATATAGACAGCTTCTTACTCAGCTTCTTAACGTGGCAGTAACCCTGCTGCCTCATTCCCATTGCATCAGCTTACAGTTGCTTCCACTTACAACCTTCCATCAGCTTACAGCTATTAAATCTACATACCCTGACACACACTCTCTCTCTCTCTCTCCCCCTCCCTGTCTCTCTTTCTCTATACACACACACACACACACACACACACACACACACACGTACACCCCATTCATCACAATTATAAACAATTGTAACTTATAACCTTCTCTTAAAATATAACAAATGATCTTTTCTTCCTGTATTCCATCTCTTATCTATAAACAAATCCTTAAAACCGTGTCATTCCAGTCCTGATGTCAGCAAAACTCCATTAAGAGGTTACTAGAAATAACAGTTCTATTTTAACCTTGATGCAATAGACCAAGTCTATTTTCTTTCTTCATTTCTAACAATCTTTGACAACTGTTTGCAGCACCCCATGGTTACGTGACTGTGATTTATGACAGTTTTACTGGAAACCAGTGTTTGCTTTGTTTATTGCAAAAACCAGCTTTAGCAAATAATAGCTTTGCTTAACAAGCAGTGTAAAAAAGATCATTAAAACAGGTCTAGTCCAGTGGTGGGTTGCCCCTGGTTTGGACTGGTTTGCAAGAACTGGTAGTAAAACCGGCAGAGGCCTTGCCCAATGCCCCGGATGTTGTCATTGGCAATCTGCGCATGCGCAGAAGCAAGGCGCATGTGTAAGCGAAGCGTGCGTGTGTGCGTGATCCTGTTGCGAACCAATAGTAAAGGTAAGTAGAACCCACTCCTGGTCTAGTCTCATGATGATCCACTTTACAACCATCATGATTTATAACCATAATTGCCAGGCTCAATTATAGTTGTAAATCAAGGATTACTGTACAATTCAGTATCTTACAATGGTACAAAAATATTTTTATAAAATAAGATACATGTAATTTTTCATGATTTGTACATAATATCCTACCTTATGTCCAGAATTTATGTTCAGGTTTAGAGATTTCTAAAAGTCAGTGACAAGGTTTCTAGGTACCACCTAAGTCCAAAGCTAGAGTCTAAAAGATCCTTAGATGGGATTTCCATAAACCGAATTAAGAATGCACATACATGGGCAGAACTGTAAGAATCACAAAATTTATTATTATGATGCTGTTGAGCATGGATCAATGCTAGTACTCTGGATTTAGGTATGAGATTGACTGCAAACCAAATCATTAGGTACATTTCTGTCTATAAACCACACAGAAAAAAATTGCTGATCTATTGTTACAAACTACTGGCATGAAGCATGGACCCTTTATATTTTTACAGAAGATTTCAATCAAACTATCCTTTAAATTACAGATCATTTATGTAATATATGCTGCAATGAGGCAAAAGCATAACTCTGATTCACTGATGTTCACAAATCTTATATTTATATCTTATATCTCACCGCCCAGTACGCTCCCATAGAGAGGGGCTTCTCAGGGTGCCGTCAGCCAAACAATGTCAACTGGCGGCCCCCAGGGGGAGAGCATTTTCTGTGAGGGCACCCACCATCTGGAACGAGCTCCCCCCAGAGATACAGAAGATTCCGGATCTGCGCACTTTCCGCCATGCCCTCAAAACATTCCTGTTTCAGCAGGCCGGCCTGGCCTAACTTTCCCTTTATATTGCTTTTTGATTTTATTTTAAACTGGGATGTCTTGAATTACCTAGGACCAGAATGTTTAGTATATTTTAATTGTTTTTTTATTATTAACGTTTGTATTACATGTATTTTTATCGTTCGCTGTTCACCGCCCTGAGTCCCTTAGGAATAGGGCGGTATATAAATTTAATTAATAATAATAATAATAATAATAATAATAATAATAATAATAATAATAATAATAATATAGGATCCTCTCCAGCCTGGACAAATCACCTAGTATGATTCATATAAT